GGAAGACTGGTTAAATCTATCTCTCCAGGTTCCTTCTCAGGGGAAGATGTAGAAGATGTTGAGGCTGTCTGGGTTAGTCTTGTCTGGATCAAATTTTTTTGCCTTTTCATGTTGATAGGTGCAGTGGAGTGCTATTGACTTGTCTGTCAGCTGGGAGAGTCAAGCCTCTTTCCACTTGGCTCCTGGCCTTACTTTACTGGGACAACTGTGACCCCTAGTGGCTTGTTTTGGGCAATTGCATGTAGACTGGGTCTTTGTATCTTGCCCTGTCGGTATGGAGGAAACTCCCTAGCTGCGAGCGTGGCCAGCCTCAGGCTGCTTCTCTGCTATGGCGGGGCCCAGGAGGGGTAATGGACAGGGGCTGTTTGGCTGTTTACCTCCGTGAGGGGTCTTAGAGCTGTTGCCCTGGGGATTAGTGCGCCCAGAGTTCCCTGGAATTTCCAGCTGCTGGACTGTGAACTGGGATGCTTCCGTCCAGCTGTGCAGTCCCTGTCCCTTTAAGACTTTCAAAAAGTACTAGCGTTTCTTTGTCACAGGGGCACCAGATTCGGGATCTGCTCTAAGGTCTTACTGTCCTGTTTCCCTAGTTTCCAGCTCCCCACGCATGCACTGTGTCTGCGCTGGTGTGGATAGCTGGCGCTGGGTGTTTAGCAGTCCTGGGCTCCCTCTCCCTCCCTGCTCTGACTCCTTTCCTCCTGCTGGGAGCTGGGGTGAGGGGCCTCAGGTCCCGCCGGGCTGTGGCTTGTATCTTACCCCATTCACCAGGTGCTGGGTTCTCGCTGGTGTGGATGTAGTCTGGCTGTTGTCCTGTGTCTTCTGGTCTCTCTTTTAGGGATAGTTGTATTTGTTGTGTTTTCAAAAATATATGTTTTTGGGAGGAGATTCCCACTGTCCTACTCATGCCACCATCTTGGCTCCACCCTCCTGCTGCTATTTTGTTCCTTCAATTTTTGCTTTGTTCTTATACTCCACAGATGTGTGAAATCACTTGATACTTGTCTTTCTCCACCTGGTTTATTTCACTGAGCATAATACCCTCCAGCTGCATCCATGCTGTTGCAAATGGTAGGATTTGTTTTCTTCTTATGGCTGAATAATATTCCATTGTGCATATGTACCACATCTTCTTTATCCATTCATCTACTGATGGACACTTAGGTTGCTTCTATTTCTTGGCTATTGTAAATAGTGCTGAAATAAGCATATGGGTGCATCTGTCTTTTTCAAACTGTAGATTGCTTTGGGCAGGATGGCCATTTTGACAATGTTAATTCTTTCTACCCAAGCATTCTTAGGGTAAATTCCTAGGAGTGGAATTCCTGGGCAAATGGTATTTCTATTTTGAGTTTTTTGAGGAACCTCCATACTGCTTTCTACAATGGTTGAACTAATTTACATTCCTACCAGCAGTATAGGAGAGTTCCCCTTTCTCCCCATCCTCACCAATATTTGTTGCTCTTTGTCTTTTGGATGGTGGCCATCCTAACTGGTGTGAGGTTATATCTCATTGTGGTTTTAATTTGCATTTCTCTGATGATTAGTGATGTGGAGCATCTTTTCATGTGCCTGTTAGCCATGTGAATTTCTTCTTTGGAGAAGTGTCTGTTTGGATCCTCTCCCATTTTTGAATGGGATTATTTGCTTTTTGTTTGTTGAGGTGTGTGAGCTCTTTATATATTTTGGATGTCAACCCTTTATTGGATCTGTCATCTATGAATATATTCTCCCATAATGTATGTCTTTTTCTTCTACTGATGGTGTCCTTTTTTATACAGAAGCTTTTCAGCTTGATATAGTCCCACCTGTTCATTTTTGCTTTTGTTTCTCTTGCCCATACAGATATGTTTATGAAGTTGCTCATGTTTATGTCCAAGGATTTTTACCTATGTTTTTTTCTCAGATTTTTATGGTTTCTTGACTATATTCAGGTCTTTGATCCATGTTGAGTTTACTTTTGTGTATGGGGTTAGACAATGATCCAGTTTCATTCTCTTACATGTAGCTGTCCAATTTTCCAACACCAGTTGTTGAAGAGGCTGTCATTTCCCCATTGTATGTCCATGGCTCCTTTTTCGTATATTAATTGACCATATATGCTTGAGTTAATGTCTGGAGTCTATTCTGTTCCACTGGACTATGGGTCTGTTCTTGTGCCAGTACCAAATTGTCTTGATTACTGTGGCTTTATAGTAGAGCTTGAAGTTGGGAAGTGAGATCCCCCCTGCTTTACTCTTTCTTCTCAGGATTGCTTTGGCTATTCAGGGTCTCTTATGGTTCCACATGAATTTTAGAACTATTTGTTCCAGTTCATTGAAGAATGCTCTTGGTATTTTGTTAAGGATTGCATTGACTCTGTAGATTGCTTTGGGCAGGATGGCCATTTTGACAATATTAATTCTTTCTACCCAAGAGCATGGGATGAATTTCAATTTGTTAGTGTCCTCTTTAATTTCTCTTAAGAGGGTCTTGTAGTTTTCATGGTATAGGTCTTTCACTTCCTTAGTTAGGTTTATTCCCAGGCATTTTATTCTTTTTGATGCAATTGTGAATGCAATTGTTTTCCTGATTTCTCTTTCTGCTAGTTCATCATTAGTTTATAGGAATGAAACAGATTTCTGTGTATTAATTTTATATCCTGCACCTTTGCTGAATTCAGATATTAGTTCTAGTAGTTTTGGAGTGGATTCTTTAGTGGTTTTTATGTACAATATCATGTCATCTGCAAACAGTGATAGTTTGGCTTCTTCCTTACCAATCTGGATGCCTTTTATTTCTTTGTGTTGTCTGATTGCTGTGGCTAGGACCTCCAGTACTATGTTGAATAAAAGCAGGGAGTGTGGGCATCCCTGTCTTGTTCCCAGTCTTAGGGGAAAAGCTATCAGCTTCTCACTGCTAAGTATGATGTTGGCTGTGAGTTTGTCATATATGGCCTTTATTATGTTGAGGTACTTGCCCTCTATACACATTTTGTTGAGAGTTTTTATCATTAATGAATGTTGAATTTTGCCAAATGCTTTCTTAGCATGTATGGAAATGATCATGTGGTTTTTGTCCTTTTTGTTGATGTGGTGGATGATGATGGATTTTTGAATGTTGTATCATCCTTTCATCCCTGAGATGAATCCCAGTTGATAATGGTATATGATACTGTTGACGTATATTTGAATTCAGTTTGCTAATATTTTGTTTGTTGAGAGCCGGGGCTATGTCCCTTCCCCCATGTCTGAATGCAGCATGGGAAAGCACAAACTTGAGAACAGCCGATGCAGTCCATGGAAGTTATCTGCCCACAAAAACATGTCTTGTCCTTGAGGAGGAGCCAAGACTCCTCACTCTGAAAATAGGGAGATCATGAGGATGTGTGAAAACACCGCCCCTGCTTCTGGCCTGCTTTCTCCCACTTGCGGATGTGGCAGGAATGGAGAACAAAGAACACTCTGTTTATGCACTCCATGAGCAACTAATGGAACCCTGCTGAGCCTACCTTTGCCCAGTTACTGCTGACGTCAATACTGTGCTTGATTGTTTATTGGATAATGCCATTTCCTGGAATAGTGAGCTTTTTGCTGTATAAATACCCTAGACCTTCAATAACGTTTTGCTGGTGACACGAAGGAGCATCAGCCCTCCCCACCTCTCTTGTATCCTTTATTCCGGTCTCCTCACGTCCTTCGGTAGCTCTGTTTGACTGTTGCAGCTGGACCCCGACAAGTGGTGCCTGAACAGGGACCTGAAGGAGAGGGAGAAGGTGACGGCCACCACGTCAAGAAGAGAAAGCCCTGGCCAGGGTAACGTGAGAAGACGCGCAAGAGAATAGGCACGCAAGCAATGTGGACATGGTAAGTGAATTTTTCTGGGAGTCCAATATGGGACAGGCAGGGAGCAAACAGTTATATGTTTGCGTGCTAAAGAGGTTGTTAGCCGCCAGAGGAATTAAAGTAGGGAAACCCCAATTAGAAAGATTTTTAGATTTTATTGAGAAAGTGTGCCCTTAGTTCCTGGAAGAAGGGACAGTAGATATAGAATTGTGGAATGAGGTAGGAAAGGGACTTCAATCTTATTATTCTACCCATGGTCCAAAAAAGGTTCCGGTGGACACATTTATCCTGTGGACCTTAATTAGAGACTCTTACATGACTTAAGGCAAATTAATGCGGTTCTTAAACCTATGGGACCTTTACAACAAGGCTTCACTTTTCCAGCTATGATTCCAAAAGACTGGAATATGGCTATCATTGACCTTAAAGATTGCTTTTTTATCTTGCTCTCCATTCAAAGTAGTCCTCTTAGGCCTGCTTTACTTTCTCCTGTGTAATGTAAATAGAGCCTGTAATTAAGCTGAACCCTCAGATCAACATGTAAATAGCTCCATTCTATTAACTGCTTTCCTTAGAGGCAGTCATCCTGGAGCTAAGCATTTCCTCCTCAACAGCCCCAGGGAAGCCAAACAAGCTTGTGACTCAGATCAGGGCTCTAGTAGCGAAAAGTCACACAGTCCCTGCATTTATAAGACAGGCATGGGCCTCTTGAGGAATGACTAAAGCTCAGGCAGAAAAAACTAGGAAAACTGAGAGCAGTTCGATCCCTAAACTCTAAAAAGAAGTATCTTATCTTCTGCACACAAACCTGGCCCCAGTACAAACTCTCTGATTAGAGAGGCTTGGCCCCTAAAAGAAGTATGCAATATAATGTTATGCAGCTAAATATATTTTTGCCACAAGGGAAGAAAATAGTCAAAAGTTCCACAAACTACTACAATATGGAGCTAGTTTTCTAAATTCTTTTAGTGAACATCTATTCTACTTTTTAAGTTCATCATTATCTTTGAGAATTGAGAAGTCTTAAACTAAACTCCCTGAGATAGAAGAAATTTATCTTCTGCAATACAGCCTGGCTTTAAATGACTGGAGCTAGAATTGTGCTTGCATTTCATTTCCAACCCCCTGGACACACACAGTCCCTATCAGTTCAGAGCCTTCATGGGACCTGTTAGTCTGGGGCCATCTAAACCTTAACCCAGTTATGTAAACTGCTTGCCCTTAGAGGGTATTCTTGAAAACTGAAGTACTTTTAATCAAATAAACTAAGAAGGAAGAAGACCACTGAATATTATAAACTCAAATCTTTATGTCAGTTTGTCTGTGTATATGTTTTTATATGAAAAGTGCTGCTAACTGTAGTCATTATGTCTCGGTCTGTATGTTTGTGTGTCTAAGCGTGTAACAAAAAAATATTTTCTACCTCCAGAAGGTATTAATAAAATTGATTTAAAAACAAGTGCTTGTGAAAATTGGGCATTCTAAAACTTCCAGAATATCTAATAAAAAATATTATGCATTAATGCTAATTTAAGCTTAACTGATATGGACATGTCCTTATAGTTATTAGCTGCCAAAGTTTACTTTAAGTCTTTTAAGTTGATGTTACCTGTTAAATATTTAAAGAAAATGCTTAAAGAAAAGCTTGACTTTGTCTAATGTTTGGTAAAAGTTTTATAAATAATTTAGCATGGTTGCTAAAAATAAGTAAATAAGTGTAGCAAATAAACTTTTTAATAATAATACTGTATTAATGTATAACAATGTATATTTCTGCAAACAGCCTGAGAATTTTTGTGGTAACCAAAATTCTTAAAGTTTGCTAAGTTATATAGACATATTTTTTATTTAATAAGAAATTGTGCTGTAAGGCACATTTCCAAAAATGATAAAATATTTCATAGATGTATCAATCTGAAGAATGCTGGTGTAACAGTTTACAGTGGCCTGTTTTTCAGTGTTCACTGAAGGTTAAGGTACCAAATAGTTTTAGTTCTAATGAAAACTACTTAATATAATAAGGAAAATATTTTAGTATGCTAAAGATATATGTTTTAATAAGAGAAAGTATAAAGAATGGAAATTCATTTTGTTGAGAGTAAAAGAAAGTTAATTGTTCTAAAGTACAGCTATTTATTTAATGAGAGACAGAGACAGAGACAGAGAGCAGTGTGGTGCAGCAGCCTGGTGCCTTTTGTTGTGGCAGATCCACTCAGCCTGTTGCTTTGGGAGAGGGTCAAGATCTTTAGAGATAAGGTGGGATAAACCCAGTCAAGCCCCAGGCAAGCCCAGGCATAATTCTCACTGGCTTATGTGCTTTTGGGACCATGGGGCAAATGAAGAATAAATTACTATATTCTTACAGATATAATCATGCTATGTGAAATTAAAGCAAGTGAGTCTTAATAACGAGTATACAGCAAAATTGGAGTTTTGTTTTCAGTTGGAAAGACAAAGTATTCTTTAACTGTTAGTCTGCTCTTAATATTGAAAGATTGCAAAGGGTTCTCTAATTGTTTTATTGAAACAGTTTCTTATACTTAAAGTCTTAATGAATTGTCTGAGTATTTAAGAAAATAAGATCTTAATATTAAAAAGACTAAGCTAAGTGTTAACTATGTAACCTTCTCCATTTGCTTTTAAACTTTATTATCATTCTAGTTAAATAATACGTGTTATTTAATAACTATAATTCTATTTAGATAAGTGCCTTAAAAACTTCTGAGAGCTTCCCAAAAAACCAAAATTTAAAAAAGTATTTTTACCTCTCAATTAACTCTGATATTTTCCAGAGGGCGCCTGGAACATATCAGTAGAATTTCTTCTCCTCATCAAAGAAAATATTTGACTAATTTGGCTTATTTACCTGGTATATACTTACCTAAAAAGTACTGTCAAAAGGAATAATGCTCGATTTTATTACTGAGTGTTTTATGTTACAGAAATATCCAAACTTACATATATCAACTATCTTACAGTAAGTTCTCATCAAATCTTTAACCATTGTCATTTGTAAATCTTTTCTTGTTTATAATCACTGTTTAATTATTACTAAACTAGTAAAGAACTAGATTTCAGCAAAATGAGTACTAGTTACTTAAAATTAAGTAAACTAAAGACAAATGATTTTGTAGCTTGTTTCAAGTGTTGCTGATAAAATGTTTTAAGCTTTATCTCTTAAACTGACTAACAACGCTCCAGTTTACCTCTCCTCTGTGTTACATACATTTTTCAGCTATATAACATCACTCATAACACAGGCATTTCATACAATTCTACAAGTCAAGCTCTCACTGAATATTGTCATCTTATTCTTAAACATTATTTATTAATACAAAGAGGGGGGATTACTCCCCAATATGATAAAATTAGTTGCAAGTTGACGATTGGTGCATGCTTTATATATCCTTAATTTTGATCTTCTGGAGGGTGATAGATGGTCAGCGGTAGAGGTACATTTTTCTGATAATATTTCCTTTTCTGAAACAACAACAGTTCCTGGGTGGTAGTCTCCAATGGGTTCTTTACTACGGCATAAAGATCATATCAAGGTGTGGGGCAAGGGGTTTGCTTGTGTTTTTACAGAAGATCAATGCTTGATCTGGCCGCCCAGAAAATGAATTCAGATACGATATGAAGGAGAACTTCCAACATCAACATCCTCTGGAAGAGTCATTCCAGAAGGTGACCATCAAAAACCTCAACAAAAGTCTGCATGTCAAACACGGAAAACTGAAGCCCACTAAATAATATTACAACAACTCATGAGCCAAAAGTTGCACAAGTCATCTTTTTGTGTAGCAAGAAATTCCTCTATCAGTGAACTGTTGAAGAAGAATTTAATAGGCATAAGACTTTCTCCTACGGTGTTTACTAATATCTCAGGCATAAACATCACTCTTCCCCCTAAAGTGCTTGCTCCTGATGCCCAATTAAATTTACCTGTTAGTATTACTATAATTACTGATTGTGTATGTATTAATTGTACTCATGTAGCCTCTTACTGCAATTGTGCAATCATTGTAAAATGGTCTTCTAGATATAGACTTCCAAATAGTTGGGTATTTTTGTGTGATAATGAAACATATTAAGCCCTTTCTCCACACTATCAAGGTGTTGGTAGTGTAAGATGCATTCTTCCTGCTCTAATAGACCATCCTGAATATAAGCACAAGAGACTTCTCCGAGTTCTGCCATCTGACTGTGATGAAAACTTGAAACTTGGAGGTCCTTCCTCTGTTGCAGTTGCAGCTGCATTCCTCCTGCCAGTTCCTAGACTTGTCATTGGAATGCTAAAGGAGATATCTAAGCTAGCCTGCGCTTATAGGAAAACAAACTTGACTGCTTCTGTATTATCTGAACTCAACCAAGAACTGAGAGAATTGCGAGCTGCAGTGCTTCAGAATCAAGCTGCTGTGAACTGTCTGATGTTAAAAGAGCATGTAAGATGTGATCAGTTTCCAAGAATGTGCTGTTTCAATTTCTCAAACTACCCAAAATCAATTAGATGATATCCCTCATATTGTCAATAAGTTTTTACAAATGCCTAAGCTATCTAACTAGTTTTCTTAATTTCATTAGATATAACTAGTAATTGTAAATCTGCCTTTGTTATGTATCTGTATTCCTATTCTGTTAATGTGTGTATGCAATTTAACTAGTAGTTTGTTAAAACCTATATATATATATTCAAGTTATGTCTGTCTTTTGACATGTTCTATCTCAGCCATGTAATGCATATTTCCTGCAAAACTGAGATACCATATAATCCACAAGGCCAAAGCATCGTAGAATACGCCCATGGTACCCTTAAAGCTCAATTGGAAAAAACAAAAAAGGGGGAGTTATATCCCCAGTCACCACAGAACTATTTAAATCATATCTTATTTGCAGCTAAAACTGCATCTGATATATTAAATCAGATAAAAGACGTGTTCAGGGACCCCCTGAATAGTCTCTGGCACGCTGTCACACCTCTCTTAACCCTAAGCATTTTATGTCTTCTATTGCTGTTACTAGGGCCTTGTGTCCTTCGCAGCATGTGGAAACTCATCCAACAAGCCTTAAGAGGCCTGCATCGTTTGAAATTGCAGATGTCCCCCCCCCCCCTGCTGACTTGTAAATCATAAGATCTAAAGTCAAGTATGGTAGCCAATTGTAAATCATAAGATCTAAAGTCAAGTATGGTAGCCAATGATGGGTAAGATATGGTTGAATTGTAAATACCAACCTAAGACAGGGAGTAGTTGACAGAGGACTATAGCCCCATAACGGGTAAGGATTTACTTCAACCATACAACCTAAGACAGGCACATACCTTGACCCAATCTGAGTTAGGCTAGTTATTTTATTAAAGATAAAAGGGGGAGATGTTGAGAGCCGGGGCTATGTCCCTTCCCCCATGTCTGAATGCAGCATGGGAAAGCACAAACTTGAGAACAGCTGATGCAGTCCATGGAAGTTATCTGCCCACAAAAACATGTTTTGTCCTTGAGGACGAGCCAAGACTCCTCACTCTGAAAATAGGGAGACCGTGAGGATGTGTGAAAACACCGCCCCTGCTTCTGGCCTGCTTTCTCCCACTTGCGGATGTGGCAGGAATGGAGAACAAAGAACACTCTGTTTATGCACTCCATGAGCAACTAATGGAACCCTGCTGAGCCTACCTTTGCCCAGTTACTGCTGACGTCAATACTGTGCTTGATTGTTTATTGGATAATGCCATTTCCTGGAATAATGAGCTGGAGCGTCAGCCCCTCCCCACCTCTCTTGTATCCTTTATTCCGGTCTCCTCACGTCCTTCAGTAGCTCTGTTCGACTGTTGCGCCTGGACCGCGACATTTGTTGAGTATTTTTGCGTGACCAGTATATTCTACACTGCTTAAGTAGGACTGACAAAGGGTTTTGAGATCTTGGAATGAAAGGTACTCTGTGTTTTTTGAGGCTATGTCTAAAATACCATGGAGTTCCCACCTTGTGCTGTTGTGATGCTTAATCATCACGTGGGGGAGGAAGCTCAAGCAGCCTGTGGAGGGGCCCACTCATAAAGGAAAGGATACCTGAATGGGAAGGCAGGCTCTCTCCCTAGCACATGTTGAGCTCACAGTGAATAGCTGGCACCAATTTGCCAGCTGTGAAAGTGAGCCATCTGGCTTCTAGTCAAGGTTCTCCTGCTGATACTTTGTCTCCATTGAGTCCTGTCCAGTTTGAAGATTCATGAGCAAATAATGGTTGTTTGGTTTTAATCCATTAAATTTGGGGTGTTTCTTTTGTGAAGTTCACTATGTTACTGGACACAGCGGGTCTGTTGCTTGGGGTGTTTTCTGAATAATCAGCCTCAAGAGAAAGTCAACTCAAAGCAAAGCTTAGTTTACTTGTGACAAGTGAAGGAGACAAGGATAGTCTCTCATAAAACTGTCTAATCTTGAGAAATCAGGGGCAGGTTTTAATTCAGCAAAGGCATGCATACACATTAGGGGAAAAGGATGGTTCTCTGTTCTGGGTGATCTCTTGATGGCACGTGCACAGCTCCTCACCATGCTTTTTCATGTCACATTTACAAAGATGGTGAGTATCTCCAGGTTATCTCAGGATACACTAGCACTGTCACTGTAGTCAGTTTCAGTTTCAGGAACCATTATGGTCTTCCCAAGAAGATCTCAACACCTAAGTTTAGCACAGTTTCAAAATTACCTCATAAACATGCATCAGCTGGTTAGAAATGTACCAGATGTAAACCACCCAAGAAAAACACTCAAGACAAAATTATTCATTCCCAACTGACCCTGTTCACATTAACAGACTCTTGTCCACCACTTGAGCTCTTTTAGGTAACAACTAAAACAGATGGGAACGTCAAAGTTTCTCATTGACAAGTTTTCCTACGATACTCTAGGAGGGAACATAGCTGCTGACACCCAGACCTGGTGCTAAGAAAACTAACTTGTGCTGCATGATTTTATGTTGCATAGCTGGAAGAATCTCCTGGGGATCAACACACTGAAAGCTTAAAGTTATCTGACACCACTAAAAAACATCTTTATTTTGGAATTGGGAAGAAGAGTTGGGAACCATATGCTCTCTCCCCAGAAGACTTTTCAAAGTCCAGTGTACAGTGAACATAGCAATCTGGTCATTATATGAAGCCGGGGAAGGGGTGCTAACCATGGGCTGGAGTGAGTTGGGACCACCTAATACTTGGTATACATGCAGAAGCAGGAAACACAAAATATATTCAGAGAAAGTAACATTTTGGCTGTACTCTCCTTTCTCTTCTTCCCCTGCAAGACACACACACACACACACACACACACATATATATATATATATTAAAGGGCCAATCTCCACCTGTCCCAGGGCAGTCTCCAGGTAGGGCTACCAGGTTTAGCAAATATAAATACAAGAACATGTACTCTGAGGCCTGAATCTCAAGCTCAGTTTCTTCCACACACCAAGACCAAGACAAGAGCATTCATCTGCTTCATTACCACTCTGGTGCCTCCTTTCTCCTGGGCCTGCTCTCCTCCTGCCTGGCTCTGGGTGCATGAAGGACATGCATGGCACACCACTTTTGAGGCCTGCCCACCTGGGCCTCCACCCAGGATGCCTCTGGCATCTCTTCAGTCCCTTAAGGTGCCCAAGGGACCAGTGTCCTCTGGAAATTGGTGTTTGTCCTTCCTGGTGTGGATTTGCCCTGGTGGCCATTAATTTGGGTCTTCAGCAGGCAGAGGGGAGTGCTTGGGCTTGAGGGAGTTATGGTGAATGTTCTTTTCTTTGCTGTGTCTGAGAAGCTCCTGAGCCACTGGCCACCCAACCTACCCCCAAACCACTGCCTCAGACCCCACAGACTGACTCTTCTCAGACCTCACTGTTGTGGGGAAGGAGTTGTTCCCAGGGGATGACAGAATGGGCTCTTGGCTGCCAGGCAGTGATTTCAGGCCATGGGAGACAGGGTGCCAAGCTGTGAGGTGCCCTTGTTAAGGATGAAAAAAAGCTTGGTATCTCTTCCTTCATATTGTGTCTGTCTTCTTTGCTGCCTTAATCTTTGGGTCATTTTCTGCTCAACCCTACTAGCAAACATGCTAATCATTAGAGGAATTTTGCTTACAGCTTGAGATTTCTGCAAATAACCCCTTCCTGGAAGCTTGTCTCCCAAGGAGATAAGGAAGTATGTACAAAAATAACAGTTGTTTTGTCAAGGACTATAAGGAACATCCTGAACACACCCACATCAATGGGAGTTAACTAATCAAGAACAAAGTTTCATAACCCTTTTCTGAGTCTTGCTAGCACCTAGATGCCTGGGATCAACCCTCACCTCTGGACATCAGCCCCTTTCTGCTTCTCCCTTTCCTAGCATAAAAGGAACTTAAAATTCATCCTGAGTTAAGATCTTCAGGACATTAGTCCACTATCTTCTTGGGTTGCTAGATTTCCAAATAAAGTGGCCTTCCTTGCCCCACCACCTTATCTCTTGACTTATATTGGCCTGTTGTGTGATGAGTGGTAGGAACTTGGACTTAGTTATATCCTGACTAAGAGGTCTGAGTTCGAATTGCACTTCAGCTGCTCATTAGCAGACCTTGAATAGGCACAGAGCTTGATCACTTATTCATCTGTAAAATGGGGGATGAAAGTTACTTCTCCAGCACAGGTTTCTGTTTCTAAGCCTATGGCATAGTATGTGTTCTGTATACAACAGTTGACCTAATTACCAGAGATGCCTAGGACCCACGCCCCCAGAAAAAAGTGAGGATCCTAGGAGGGAAGGTGAGGATTACATTCTGGAAGAATAGATCCACTTTGGTATGAGAAAACTCTCTGAAGTCTCTCAGAACAGAAGCTAGAGCATCTAAGGAAAAATACATTGTGGTATGGCTAGAGCAAAATAAATTCCTGATTCCTACTAGAGACATGTGGACTTGGTTGGAGACACCTCAGGCATAGGTCTTTGAGAATTGTTAGGACTTTGCCCTATGGGTTTGAGTACTGATGAGCACAAGCCAGACTGAGGCTGAGGACATCCCCCTACATGAGGGATTAAAACACACAAAAATAGGGGCACCTCAGGAGAAGCCTTGTTGAAAGAGAGCAGGGGAGAGAAAGGTTTTTTCCTCAGGCAGGTTGGCATATCCACTTGTATGTTACTGTTGAAGAGAAGACTATGCAGGTATATATGGATGCAGTCTGTTACATCTAGTAAATGCTGCCTGCAAGTGTCCTATCCTTAGTGGGTATTTATTTTTTATCTTCACACATATAAACACAATATACTAATAATTGAGGGCTTCCTCTGTATTAGGTCTTGATACAACAATTCTTGTGTTTGAATCCCCATTCCAAAATTTGCCAACGTTGAGTCAAGTCACTTAACTTCTCCGAACTGCAGGCTTTTAATTTATAAAAAATAGCCATATTAACATTCATCTCAATGGTTTCTAGTGGGGAAGCAAATGAGATTACATGCACTTGAGTTACATCATATGAACATTAAAGTTAACATGAATTCATGAGTACTGATAGGAAAAGAAAGAAACTTAACAGTTCAATACTGTGGGCAATTCTGACTGTCATTACCCTTACTAAAAATTGAGCCCTGAGAGGAGCAGGAGTGAAACATAAATCTGTGGCTCCCTAACTTGGTTTCTACCTCTCTTCAAAGTTCTCTTCTGTCTTGTGAGTGATTTAAGAGATTAAAACAACTACTAAATTGTGATATGACGCATGCACAGGAAAATAGAAATGTACAATTCAATGAGTTATCACCAAGCAAAAATCTGTGTAACAACCATCCAGGTCAAGAAATAGAGCACCTGCTAACAGCTCAGAAAAGTGCTCTTGCCTTTTCTCAATCCCTGTGTTTTTTTCTTACCCAAAGTAAACACAATCCTAACTTTTATGACAGTCACTTCCTTTTTCTCCATCATCTTATCACTTAAACGTGCATTTCTAAATACTACAATTCCTTTGAATTTTATATAAATGGAATTATGCAATACACAATCTTTTGTGTCTGATTGCTTTTGCTCAACATTAGGTTTGTGGGATATATTCATGTAGTTACATGAACTTGTAATTCACTTAAATTTTTCTGTAGGATTCCATTGTACAAATGGACATCAGCCCCTTCTGATGGGACATTTACCCATTCTATTACTAATGAGCATTTGGGTTGTTACCATTTTTTGGCTATTAGAATTATTGCTACTGTGATTATTATTGCATATATTTCTTGATGTACTTAGCATATATAACCTGGAAGTGGAATTGTTGGATCATAAAAATGCATATCTTCAACAACCATATATAATGATAATTTGTTTTCTGAAGGTGTTCTAATTTATAATCCCTGTAGCAATGTCTGAAAGTTCCCACATCTTTACCAACACTTGTCAGTCACTTTCTGTCATTTTTTCAGCCATTCTGTTGGGTGTTGCATAATATTTCACTGCGATTTAAATTTCTGTTTTCCTGATAGGCCATTTAGATATTCTCTTTGCAAAGTGCCTGTTTACGTCTATTGCCCAGTTTCCTCATGGTTATTTGCTTTTCTCTTGTTGATTTGATGTTTTTTTTTTATTAGTTTTATGTACTGCAAATATCATCTACTCTGTCACCTGTCTCTTGATAATGTCTTTTGATGGACAAAACTTCTTAATTTTAAATAGTCCAATTTGTGAATCTTTTGCATATGGATAGTGCTTTTTGTATATTGTTTAAAAAGTTTTTCTTTTCTGAGGTTATGAAGTTATTCTCATAGAGTATCTTCTAGAAGTTTTATTGTTTTGCTTTTCACATTTAGATTTATAATACATCTGAAACTGTGTTGCATAAATGACTGAATTTCCAGAATCTCCCACCTGGCTTTAGTCCATTTACATATCAATAGGTGTTTACCACTGCAGCCTCCCATAGCCTCTAGGGAAAAGGGTGAAGAGAAAATGGCCTTTCTATTCTCCCCTCTATTCTTGGTATGTAATTGGTCTGGTGTCTACCAGGGACCCACCCACAGAGCTCCTCCCAGAAGGGGTGCGCAGGGAAAGGAGAAAATGTGTGGTGGCCAGAGGAGATGGACAGAGCCAGCCCTGGGTAGTGACTGTAAGGAATAAAAGCCCTTTCTCCCAACTTGAGTTTCACTAACTTAATAGGGGAATTTATTACCAGGAGGGGAACTCCTTTTCCCCTGGAGACAAATCTGGCATAGTCAGCAGGATCCATTGAACCTGATACTTGTCTTCATGGGTGTGATGTTTTGGTGGGCTGCTCCTATAGATTGT